CCCTGCCCCCTGGCGAAATCTACGGTGGGAGGGGGGGCCACAGGGGGGGCCAGAGTCAGTGCTACAGGGGCACTGGCCCCCGTTGGCCCCCCCCCCAGAACCGCCACTGTGTAGACATGCTCAACAAATTGGGACAGAGCGTCTTTACTTTTCAAGTGTACAAAAACAGTGCACCAGACAAGTGAATAACTATTTGGTGGCATAACCCTTACTTTCTATAAGTGAACCAGACTTCACCAGACTGTTGCATTCTTCATTTGAAATGCTTTTCCAGGCCTTTACTGCAGCCTCGACCAGTGCTCGTTTGTTTCTGGATGTTTCTTCCTTCAGTCTCCTCTTCAGGAGGTAAAATGCAGGCTCTACTGGGCTAAGGTCCAATGATTGACTTGGCCAGTGTAAGACATTCAATTTTTTTCTCCCTAATAAAGTCCTTTTTTGTGTTGACGAGCTGTTTTAGGTCAGTGTTTTGTTCCATGATGAAGCTTCTCCCAATTTGTTTGGACGCAATTTTCAGTAAATTGACAGACAAAATCGTTTGTAGGCCTCCGAATTAGTTCTGGTGTGACCATCATGAGTTACATCATCAATAAAGACCAGTGAGCCCGTTCCAGAAGGAGCGATCCAAGCCCAAGCCATGACATGACCTCCACCGTTCTTCACAGATGAGCTTGTATGTTTTGGATCATAAGCAGATCCTTTTTTTCTCCATACTTTGGCCTTTCCATCACTTTAGCAGAGGTTAATCTTGGTCTCATCACACCATAAATTTTTGTTCCCAAACTTGCATGGTTTATTTCTGTACTTCTTTGCAAAATCCAATCTGGTCTTCCGATTCTTTTTGCTGATTAGTTTTTTTTTTTTGAGTAATTTATTGTTTGAGTGAAGTTGTAGGTGGACGAGAGCAACATGATTAAAGACCCCACTGACCATGAGGGTTCTGAAATGTTAATCTTACAATCACAACGTACGTAACGTCACTCACATTTAGTCATAAACCATAGCTGTTCTTTTTTCTACTCTGTAAGGTAAACATCGAATGAACGTGAGGCCAGATGACGAGCCTTTTAAGACCGTGAGTCACACAGCGTTGTTTCTGCAATGCTTCACATAAATTTGTCTTTGAAAAGTTTCACTCTGTGTGGGGCATCCATGTGGCTGCCTCACACCATTTAGCATAGAGAATAAAGGTAAACGTCATCATTGGTTACATCGGACTGGTGAAACAGAAGCTTGTCAGTGTCCAAGGGAGGAGTCCCTCTGACAAACCAAATCAAATAAATTGTGCCTGCAATAGTAGGTAAAATAAATGTAGCAAACATAATACTGTATAGCTCAATGTAACACAGTAAAACTATAGCTTCTTAACAAAAACACTCTGGTAGAAGTAAAAGGTATGTTGCATTAAAGGGATTCTCATGTGTGTGTTTAATTGTCGCATCTGAGTAATTACAGTATTATTATTTTTACCACAAAGTAAACACCTATAAGGTTTCTCTCCAGTGTGGATCATTTGCTTTTTCAAGACACATATAGACAGTTCTGTCGTTCACAGCGTTTGTTATCCACGTAACGTGTCTGATTGCCTTCACAGTGTTCTTCATTGTGAGTGTCAAGAGTGTGTAAAATAATGTCGTCACTATCGGATAGTGAAGCTATGAGCTGTCTGCTTGGGATCGTTCACAATGGTCCTTCTGTTGTCATGTGTTGACTTGAGATGCTGCTTGGAGGCTCCGTCCATCTATTCTCGTCTTCCTCATCTTTGCACTTCACAAAGACACCAGTCAATGGCAGCTGGGTGATAACAGTCAGCAATTCTTTCTCTAATGTGGGGGTTCTCTGGCTTCTGTTGCTCAACCCTTTAGCTTCACTCTTGCGGCTCAGGATGATGATCTTCCAGTGCTGAATTTAAGCTGCAGACTGAACCAGTGAAAGGCTTCACAGCAGTGTATGCGGTAGTGTGTGTATTTACGTTACGTTAGAGAATCTTTGATGCCAAACTGAGCAGGCAAAAGGTTTTTCTCCAGTGTGGATTCTTGTGTCTTTGATTATGTTTCTCTTTTCAGAGAACCTTTTAGCACAAATTAAGCAGGGAAAATGTGTCATTAATGATTCAACACAACAGTCAATGTGGATCATCCACTAAGTCGGCCAATTAAATCGTACCCAGACACTTTTATTGCATTTAAAATGATTAAAGATTACATGTATAGATTAGTTAAATTATAATAGAACATTTACAAAATTTACAGAAAAATATTTTTACCATCAAACATTCACAAAGTGCTTAGAGAAGTGAGTACAATTAACTTCATTTACAATCAAATTTTGACCCTGTGTGGATGAGACATAAATCTAAAATAAATCAAAACGAGTTCTATGAATTCGGGTTTTTAAAAGTCATTTAATATGTGCATTGTAAAGTTACGCCATCACCCTGGAAAAGGACAGCTAAGATAAATCACCAAGTATCACATTCAAGCCAAGTGTATGTAAACCTCTGACCACAAGTGTATTTACTCAAGATTCACATCATGCTGTAACAAACATAAAAATAAACAAGACAGATACTGAACTCGATCACAGTTTGGAGACTTGCATTTTATTCAGGATCACAAATACTTTTTACATCTCACCACACCGTGTAAATGTTTCCAATTTATTTCAAGCTTTCTTTACTGTCGGTTTTCTCACCAGCACACTTGTGGATCATGGTTTCTCATCATCGTGTATTCTTGTGTGTGTTGTCAAAGTGCGTCTTTGGGAGAATCTTTTACCACAAAATGAGCAGGCAAAAGGTTTCTCACCGGTGTGTGTTCTCATGTGTTGAACGAGTCCTGTGCTATCGATGAAAGCTAAGCTGCAGACTGAACAGGAAAAAGGTTTCTCTCCGGTGTGCGTTCTTGCGTGAGCTTCTAAATTTCCCTTCTGGGTGAAACTTTTACCACAAACTGAACAGGCAAAAGGTTTTTCCCCTGTGTGTGTTCTTGTGTGTGTTCTTAGATGTGCTTTTAAAGAGAAACTTTTGTCACAAACTGAACAGGCAAAAGGTTTCAATCCAGTGTGTGTTCTTATGTGCCTCATTAAACTTCTCCTGATGGAGAAGCTTTTATCACAAACTGAGCAGGCAAATGGCTTCTCCCCAGTGTGGATTCTTGTGTGGGTTCCCAAATATACCTTCTGAGTGAATCTTTTACCACAAACTGAGCAGGCAAAAGGTTTACCGACAATGTGAGTTCGCCTGTGTCTTCTTAGGTTTCCCTTTTCAGAAAACGTTTGACCACAGTCAGAGCAGGCAAAAGGCTTTTCTCCAGTGTGTGTTCTTGTGTGTGTTCTTAAATGTGCTTTTAGAGAGAAGCTTTTCCCACAAACTGAGCACACAAAAGGTTTTTCTCCAGTGTGTGTTCTTGTGTGCCTTATTAAGCTGACTTTCACAGAGAAGCTTTTACCACAAATTAAGCAGACAAAAGGTTTCTCTCCAGTGTGTGTTCTCATATGATTTGTCAAAAGAATCTTTCGAGCATATATCACACCGCACACTGAGCAGGCAAAAGGTTTCTCCCCGGTGTGAGTTCGAGCATGTGTCACCAAATGACCCTTCTGAGTAAATGTTTTACCACAAACTGAGCAGGCAAAAGGTTTCTCCCCAGTGTGTATTCTCACATGTTCTTTCAAACCCGACTTTGAAGAAAAAATTTTCCCACACTGAGAACAATTCCGGCATTTGTCATCAGTGTGACATGTCATATCTTTTAAGTGTTCATCATCAGCAGTGTCAGAAGAGCGTGTTGTGACGTCATCACTGTCAGTTAGTGGAGGTAAGAGGCTGTCTGTGTGGGATACTCCAAAGTTGTCTCCGTCATCCTCTTCTTTATCATCGTCTTCACTCTTGACAATAACAGTCAAGGGATACTCGGTGATAGCAGCCTCCTGCGCTTCCTCTTTGATGTGAGAGGATTCTGGCTCCGCCTGCTCAGAATGAACATAATTTTCACTGACGTCTGCAAGACATAAGAAGACAAATACACAAGTTTTAGTAAAGTCAAGTCTCATATTGTCAGTCTGAAGTGTATTATTGATTATGCAGGCTTTTGGCACTTTTATCAGGAACGTGTAATTATGAAGTTCGGGAATCACATTTATGCTCCTTTGGGAGGCACTTGAGCAGATCAGAAACTGAGAGTACAAAATCATGTATTTTCAAGATGACAAATAGTTGTAATCACTGTACCTGTTGAGTAATGCAAGATTTCACCTCCAAAACGCTCCCCTAAATCATGAAGACCTTAGGGTAAGTCTCAGTGGGGTACAGTAATAGTTTGCAAATTTGCAGTTCACTATTTACAAAATTCGGTGTGTTATTGTAAAGTGAAAGTAGAAGCTAGATGCATTTTGTCATTTCCTATCAGCTTTCGATCCTAAAGTATTTGCTCAGACTGAATTCCATACTCATTGCCATATGAAAAATGTTGATAATAATTCAAAAAAGGGCCGGCAGACCTTCACTACACAGAGAGAAGAGACCCAAACTGTCAGCCTGGAGGAAATGATTAATGACCTAGCGTCCAACTTTATTTCCAATGTTGAAAAAAAAATCTGTCACTGTCTCGGCCCAGTCAGCAAAGGCATCTGGCCCGGCTTCGGCATGAAGCCGGCACAGCTGGCCTGGTGTCGGCAATGGCATAACGCATGTGGGCCGAACACGGCCCAGGCGTGGCAAAGGAGGCACTGGCTTGACTCTGGCAAACCAGATGAGGGCCGGTTGTGGCGTGAAGTATTTGGGCCAGAAATCAATTTCCAACTCCGGCCCGAATATGGCCAGCCAG